CCATAAAAGATGAAAGCTTCATTATCATCATATATATATATATATATATATATATATATGATGATAATGAAGCTTTCATCTTTTATGGATTTCAAGAGGAAAAAGTCATGTGGCGACATTACTGGATCGAAAGTGAAATCGAAAAGGATGAGTAGTATTAGGTGAAATCCGTAACATATAGCCTGAACAAATGCCTTGTCTCTATGCTATCCAACTTCTTATCTACCTTCGTCCCCACTTCTTACGGCGTTCAACTCTTACATTTCCTTCGATTGGCCGTCGAAATTCCCGTCTCTTTTCTTCGTAAACTAATTTATTCCCCAAGGCATAAATTTACGGTTAAAGGATAGTAATTTTGAACAGTTAAAAGTAAGTGAACTCTTTCCGAAGTATTCACAAATAATTAATTAGTAAAGCGAATTTGAGGATTAGGAAGATTAATTGATCAGCAGTTATAACTCATCACGAATTTGTACCTCTTTGTTATCACCAATATCACACTCTTCCTTTTTTTGGCATTCTCATTTCCTGACAAATAACGATAATGGCGCCGGGAGGATCATCCGTCGTCATGAAATCCAAACGTTGATTATTGGTATATTTGGCGAGCATAGAAGTGTGGGGCTACTCTTCCATATTGTTCCATTATTTCTAGGGAGAAGAAAAAGTATTCATCAATTAGAAAATATCGATAATAGTCATCTTTCATTACGTGCAGAACGGTTGTGATTACGGTTCATCGTTCGTCTCAATACACCACTCTGATCTCGGGAGTCCCTTCAAGTGTTTGTACATAATATCCATATAACAATTTCCACACTGGATCAGTGCCAAGGGACAGACGAGGTATGAAGGGCTGAGGGTTTCCAGATGGCCATTAATGGTGGCTCAGTAGATGGTGTGCCGAACGGCGGCTTCAGGTTCGTATGGTGGAGAAGATCTTTTACTCATGGTTGACGTTGAAAAGAAATGGCAGTTAAGTTACGGTTGATGCTTAGGCTTAGTCTAAGGTTAATGCTTGAGCGATGTGACTACCGGTGGAGAGAAGGGTGTTCTTAATCTGAAACAGTGCGGATTTGCATAAGAAAACTGTTGCAAACAATAACGTCTCATAACGATAATTCGGATGCGGTAAGTTCACACCTGAAGACACTCAGCGGATTACTTCTACAATATACACGACCGCTAGAGAATGCACATTGTAATACGAATTTCTGTATGATTTATTCAATTTTCACAGTAGGATGGATACACTTTGGTTCCGTTTATGAATATAAAAAACAGCTACACAACCGACGTGGAAATCTCCGCAACGTAATATAATGTTCTGTGGACAACAAAGTCGTCAAAGTAATTCTGATAGAGGACCATTCTTCGTGGTTAGCCTCAGCTCAGCTTTACTGAGGATTAGTCGCGGTCCCAACTTGAACCTCAGCCTAAGTCTAGGCATCAATCTCAGCGTTGACTGCAACCTCCAGGTGAGTCTCGAGGCTACTATGATTGCATTCTTTAAAAAAGGAGGATGTAGTATTGAAATGAATTGAGCCAAATGAGGGCCACCGTAACAGAATTATTGACTACATAGTCAAGAGCGAGTTGGGGCACTGAAGTCATTAGACTGGAACTGAATTATGGTAATGACTTAATCTGTATATGCCGAACACTGTGTGCTTTTTCTGGATATTATTATTATTATTATTTGATGTAATACAGAGGAAAATGTAGAGGGAAGGCAACGTATCAACGGCTAAGAAATGCTGTGTTATCATCGAATTAAGTAAGTGATCGTCACATATGAAAAAAAAAAGTGAAGAAAAACAAGAACAGAAGGTATAACTCAAATTTGAAAAGATACAAAGTTGTTAGAGACGTTCACGTGAACAGATTATTCCAAGATGCATTGCTATCCTTCACGATAGCATTTAGACTGCAAAACGCTGGATATTTTCACTCTTGAAATAAGAAGACTGCAAAGAAAAATGATAAGAATTGATATGAATAACGGAAGCACTTCGATAAGTATGTGGCTTGTGAACAGAGTTGGAAAAGACAGAGTTGAGAAAATAGAACCGTTGGATGAAACGAAATAGGAATGTTTGATGAGACAGCTGTTCTAATCGCAATTAACACATCTTCAATAAAGCGTTGAACCTCAAAAGGAATCGAAGCCGCTGATGAAATGAAAAATTTTCTCGAAGCATCCAATGATATCTTTGAATGACCAAAAGTCAAATGAAAGATCATCAGCGGAAGCTTTAAGCGCTAGCAAGTATCGAAAGCAGTGCAGTGAAACAGCTGAATAAATCTGCAGTGAAAAGTGAACCAATCTTCCGCAGTACTTTGTTCCAGCTAAACGCATTTCTCCAAAAAACCACAAAACAAACTCCCAGATGAAAATTTTCACAATCTCAGTTAAGCTGTTCATCATATGAATACAAATAATGATGTGGTGTTAATAGCGCGGAAAGAAGAAAGCCAAGGAAGGAAGAATGTGATATTAGTGATAACAGAGGGGCGTAAATTCGTAATGAGTTGTTGGATTTGCTGATTAAATAAATGTTGAAGAGTTTTATTAAGTCACGATTCATTAATGGTCTATTACAACGGAATGCGACACTTCCGAATGACAAAATTTTGATTGTAGTTGGACTGAAGACACCAACTTATAACCATTGTTTGATTTGATTCGGCTCAAGTTCAACTCAAGTCGATTTTGAAAGAAGAGTTTTTGTTTAGGGGAGAGATCATACAACCCAATAGTGTAAATGTGGCAAAACGGCTCGGTGGAGCAATGCTCGCAATCGCCTACTTTCTATTCTCCTTGTATAACTTCGTTGTTGCGTGCGTATCTGCATGCGTGCACGTGCCGCGTTCGAGCGTGCGGTGTCGTCGTTAATTGCAATTATTTTTTAATGAAAGGTGAGTGGAGCGCATATTTGAGATGTGTTTTGAGCGTATGAAAGTTTTTTAATGTGCACATTTTGACGGTATGTATCTTTAGCAAGACATTTATCCATGAATCATGCAATTTGTTTTGTTTTTTTGTTGACGTTTCATAAGGCTGAATGTCCTGTTTTCGTTTGCATTCTTGTCGCCCTTCTTGTTTGTTTGCAACAAAGCTGACAGTGCGCTGAACAACGTTTGGTTTTATCCGTTTTTGTTGCTATCAGTTTTATTTGTGTGTTTTTGATTTCTTATTATTTTGTTCCGTGTTTTTTTCTAATCGAATACGATTGAAATGTCACTTAAAATTCAGTAATCCGAATTGCGATTAATTTTCCCAATTCTTCACTACAATCATATTTTAGCCTATCTTTACTTCTTTTTCATTCGTTGAAGATTAAGTGTTACATTCTCACGTATAAGAGAATAAGTGAAATACTTCTTGTGGTTCGTTGTTGCAGTGATTGAATATGTTATTCTTTGGTTAATGATTCGATTGAGGAATCGTATAGGAAGGCTTTGAGCTTAATTCTTCTAGGAGTGCTACTAGTTAGTTTGCTTGAAGGATTGGCAGTGATACAGGTACAGAGAAGTTTGAGATGCATTTCGAAATTATCTTCCATCGTTATTTCAAAAATCAAAATAATCTAAAACAGATTTGAGACTTTACATAAACCCGTTATTGTTCATTGATTTCTATTGCGAAAACAAGTAAAATCAGTGGCGTAGCCGGGATTTTTTCCAGGAGGGGGCGAGGTGCAAAATGATCCGGTCCAGTAAAATAGTTGAGTTTTAAGGTGTATTTTTCTACATTTGTTTTTTCTTCCTTCTCATTTACCTCCTTTTTTTCTTGTTTCTTTTTCTTACTTTCTTTTCCCTTCTCCCCTCGTTTTCCTTCTCCTTTCCACTTCTTTCTCCCCTTCTTCTAACTTCCAAGGGGAAGGGAGGGTGTACTCCCTGTACATCCCCTACCCCCAATGCGAATACGCCACTGAATAAGATGCAGTGAATGAACGTTACCTGTGACCAGTTGCTGTGCATAAACCCGTTGTTGTTCACTCAGTTGCTGTACTCTAGCTAAATTTGAACGAGCAGTATGTTTCAGTCTAGTGACACTGTATCGAACCAGTATGAGCGAGGTTATGAAGGCGCCTTGTGTGCAAAAAGACAAGTCTCTTAAGCAACGTAAATTGATGAGAAAGGTACTGAGTGAAGCGTTGTATCTTGCGACCTTTTTGAAAATCTAGAAATTGTTATTTTATAATGTTGCAATTTTTGCTTGAAATCGTCACTTCCACTTAGGTTAAAATTTGGAGCATTGCTAGATAAGCTATTCGCGTTGCTGCAGACAAATACGTTGATTCTTGTTTTGTAATTTCTTACTTCATGTGGGTGAACGTATGAAAGAAAAGTTATACGAAAGGAAACCTATGTGTGAATCACATATATGGGCCAATTCTGAGCAGCGTAGTTTAATTTTTGACCTAGTCTAAAAGTACACCTGAATTCTCGATAAACTAATAAAAACGGATATCAATTTAATTTTTTACGCTCAGGTGGTAATTGATGATAGTGATAGTGATTTGTTGGATGAAATGTTGGAAGAAGTTAGCGAAGGGGAATATGGAGAGGAACGAAGAAGGTGCCAGGTAAATACAAGATTTAAGTTCATTTTTAAATATTTCGGTGGATGATATTATTATGGGGTTGTGTGATCGAATTGGATTTTGTACAGATTGTGCACCGTTGTTGTGCCATTTATCACCGACGTAAGAATGCTGGATTTAATCAGACGCACTTCACTGATTATCACATCAGAAGCGTATCGTTTCTTGTTGAAGCAAATTGCTTTTCAGAGACGAGAAACGCGATGCGATGAAACGAGTCCACGGAAAATGACTGCTATTTCGGTGCACTCAGTTTTGGACGATGGCTCACATAAAAATTTCCACATAATGTGCCTCGTTTGTCACAGCAAAACCACATGCTCAGATACGAATTGTTCCCTCCCAGTGAGTCGATTCGATTGAACAATGTTTCGTCTTTTATTCGTTATCCGCTTAATGAACGAATGAGTTCAGAAAAATGAAATGTTTTTTTATTATTTTCAGGCATATTACATATGTGATAAATGTATGGACTGTGAGAAGGAGCATACTAGGGAGATTGACGCCAAGTTGCTCAATAGTAACGTCACCCAACAATTCCATTCACTATCGAATGACGACTTGACAGCTTCTGATCATACGTGTACTGCTTGCAAGTGCCAGATTTGTACTCGTCGACGGGAGTTAGTTTTCTTCTTTTTGAATGTTGCAAAGGAATTTGGAGAAATCCAAAGATGATTTTTAATAATCAATGATAAATGATGTTTAAGAGCGATAGTGGAACGTAACCATGAACTTTCAATGCTGCAAGTTTGTTGGAAGGACTTGCGACAGAATGTTCGGCAAATGTTTCGTGAGGGTCTTGATGCAACAATGACCTCGTTGAAGGGCAAAAAGTTTAACGTCGAAAGAATCAAGCGAAACGTTTCAATGTATGTTTTTTGGGGTCTCTTCCAGATTAATTCAGCTCATAATGATAATCAGTCAGTTAATTGCTATCTCTTTAAGAGGAATGCTAAGTTGACCAATTGTTTTGTTTGATTTTCAGACTCGCCGAAAGAGATCCTCATCAGTTATATAAGCGGTTAGAGAGTATTGGACATGAATATGTGATGAATTTAAAATCGGATGATTTATGGCAAATTTTGGTTGCTCCTCAAATTGTTCCAGCTCTTATTAAGGTATTTCTTTTTTTGAGTTTCGATAAAGTTCAAACATAATACATTACGACCCATCCTTTTCATTTTGAATTAATGAACACTCGAATGATTTGTTTCACTGGTTTGAGTACAGTGAACTGTTCTTAGTGCATTTATAAATGAATGCTTTCTTTGCTATATTCTGCAGCTGTTTGAATCGGGTGCTAGCAAGGAGAAAATGGAATTGGAAAGGGTGAAGCTATTCATTAGGACATTGCTGGATCGTTTCTCTTGTCAACAAGAAACTGTTAGGAATATGTCACCTCTGCTTTCACCATTGGTAAGTTCTTTTGTCTAGCGAACAAACTCTATATAGTTGAATATCAACGTGAATCAGCACATGTGGTATTGTTGAATTGCGAAGTGTTTCAATGAAGAGTGATGTGAACATTAGAACGCCGCTTTTTCGATTAGATTTGAATCGTTCACGAGATAAATACCATCAACCGAACCGTACTATTTACATCAACTCAGTTGTTTTTTTCCATAATTACAAACTTATGTTGCATTCCCTAGCAGTTTTTACATTTGATTGTTTGAAAGCTTAATAATTAGTTGTAATTTTGAACTATTTCATCGTAGTGAAATGAGAGTTTCGTTTTAAAATGCTGTTTATTATTTGATTCGGATTTGTTGGCACGTTAAGGATGAGGAGTATTTATCGCAGTTTGGTATCAGTTGGAAGATATTGAATCATCATATTTTTGATTGTGTGATTTATCAAGATGATCTGCTAATAAATTTTATACCAAGCATGGAAAAGATGTTAAAGTAAGTTTTATTCTCATGCTTTGTATAATTTGAATGAGCAGCGATAGCTTACTGAAGTAAATTATTTTTGGTTGAAGGTAATATCTGTTTTGTTTTGCATGATAATTGGTTGAACGAGTGGATTTGTTTGTAGGTGTCCATTGATATTATCAGATGAAAGTGATGAACAACGCAAGGAACGTGAACGTCGTGAGACATCGTCAACGGATATTCCTTTAGGTGCATTAGAATTAGCACAAAGCTTTCGTGTTTTTCATAAATTAATGATTACCAGTCGTGAAATTTTTAAAAAAGCGAACGCTCAAATCACCCTCATTTCTCAACAACAAACCATTATTAATTATGTAAATTTTTTCATTCATTTCGTTTTCTTTCCTATTATTATCGTTTTTTGCATTGTTGTTTTTTTTTCAATAATAACGAAGAATTTGCTTAAAAAATTGCTTTCCTCATGACGGTAAAAGTTAAATCAGACACTAAGGTTATGTTGTTAGCAGAAGATTATCTGTGCAGTCAGAATGATTACGTTAAACATCCGCGTAATATTTCAATCTTTTGTCAGCAACATAATCTCAGTGTTTTGAATTTCAAAAAATATGCTATAATAATTAGTGGTCGTTGCATTCCTACAGAATTCAATACTGTTATTATCGTCTTCAAATCGACAATAGTATAATATTCATTATTTAGCCCAAACTCATTTTTACAGTGTGCGTGTACACAAATTGAAGTATAATTAGTGTGCAGATAGAGATACGAAGAAATAATGAGAATATATGATCACTGCGTTCGTTTACAGATCGCAAATAAAGCGAAAGGTGAATTGTTAGAAGAAGATTTGGAATTTTTTAAGAGTCAGCGACGTATGATACGTAATTGTACGTCGAAACGACATTTTCGTCGTTTAGGCGACTTATTGACGAAAGGCGACGATACTGATCAATGTTCAATGGGCAATGATAAGTAAGTGCGGTTTGGTTTGATTCGTAACAAGCGACTAGCATAGCATTATTGTGTATTCAAGATTGATGTTGTTATTGCTATTTGTAGTGATGATGGTACTGACTCGGAGGCGGATGCTGCTGAATTTACGAAGCGATTGCATGAAATTGTCGATGAAGGAAGAACGGCTTCGATCTGTATTGGTAGGTTCCAAATTATTTTGTTCTCTTCTTTGAGCTCTCTCCATTTCCATTTGATTGCAGACGCATAGGGGAAGAAAACCATCTTTCGTATGCAGTTATTAAGTGGATACGATATGAAATTTGAGTTTAACAATGTTAGTCAATTAAGAAAAGATAATTTTATAACGAATAAATTGATGTTCGGGTGAATAAATTGTAATATAAATGGATAAAGGTGCTATGAAAATTTGCGAATATTGGTTTTTATAGACGAAAATGGAAAAGTGGCACCATCAATGGAATGTAAAGATTGTTCGATGAGACATTGTTCTTGTGATGAATGTCGTATATCGCATATAATCATTTGTGGTCTTCTTTCGCAAGATGATGATTTGACAACCACACTCATTTGGGTTAGTTCAAACAGCTTTTCGAATGCATATACGTGTTTGTTTGGTTATTTCGAAATAGTAATTTAATTTTAGAGTCAGTCATCGACGGATATATCCGAGAATGAAGAAGACAATAACGCACAGCAAGAATCAGCAGAAAAGAATCAGCCGAACAGTAGCACTTCATCATCAGATCAGGTTGCCGCTGCTGAACATAAGCCCATCAATCGTTCATTGCGTTTTCAAGTGGCGAAGGCATTGTTTGCTTTACACGATCCCAACAATGTACACTTCTGATTAATTCACTTTATTTTTCGATGTTTCGCATTTTGTCTAAAAGCATTAATTTTTCATTTCTAAATAACTCTAATCAAGTGCTCTGTTGTAGAGGAAGGAAATAGCGTGGGGCGATTGGGAAATACCGTATGATTTGTCACATGATGTCGAATATGATGAGCATTGTTTGAATGACAAGAAGGATGTCGATGATTCGAAAGATGCTAATCAAACTGGTTCGTTCTTCGGTTTGTTCATTGTGTTGGTTTGAGTCAGAATTATTGTCCATCTTTTGCTGTTATACAGTTTTTGACTGTTGGATTATGTTCTATCTTTTATAGGCTACATTCATCGTAGTATTGCAATGCAGTTAGTTGAAATATGAGGTACTCTTTGTAGATTCGTTGCTTGATGAAAATTCGAAACTCTGTGAAAATGACGGTTTCGTAGAAGAGAGTGAGGCAATTGTGGCTGCAATAAAGGATGTTGCTAAGCAAATTGGATATGATATTCAAGAGACCGTCATTGGTCAGGCGAGGACGAGAAGGTTTCTTTTTTTTTTGTTTTGTTTTGCTTTTTCCACTCTCAGCGTTCATCTCTGCGACTCTCTGTATTTTATATTGGTCTTCCAAAGTATCTTTGCATCAAATTCCCTTTTTCTTTCTCACTTCTCGTCGAGTTATTAAAGCCAAATTTTCGAATAATTCGTCCCCAACAACTTCATTCAATTCTTGCGCATATGAACAATATTGCATTTCGCGACAATGAAATATTGAAAATTTATTGAAGGGAAAACAAATTGAGTGCTTTTTTTCAACGCGATAATAACTGATGATTTTTGATTGATGATTGTTTGTGAAGATTTGGTGGGTTAGCTCATGTTTTCGATGCCAGCTTGATCGTTTGTATAACGTTAACCAAGTATTTTGAATCTCATCCTTCTTCAGATCGTTTTCAAAGATTTTGCCTTGTTCATTCAAATAAGCGTTTGTAAAATGAAGCAGTTTACAACAAGGCATTGTTTTTGACGATTTGAGCATCATTGCGTTCTATTCAGTTCATTGTTTCCTTCGATCGTGCTTAATTTTGAGATATAACCTTTTCTACTTTGCGAACGGTATATGACTTAAAAATATATGAACAAGATCATGATATTTCAAGGACCTTATATGACAAAAACCAAATTATTCATCAAAAAGAATTCTCTTCATATGGGATATTGTGCTGATTTTAGAATCTGTTAGCAGTATTCATAGCTTTTCAAGTCAGTCATCAGTAAACCGTTGTTAATGCTTTGCGATATCGCATTCGTCGCGAATAGTTCAAAATTCATTGGTACTGCTATTATGCTATATTCGTTCAACACAAGAAGTGTTCATTCTAAAGCAATCAACACCGTTGTTGCAGTTGGGATTTCTACGATCTAACGAAATTTGGTTTCGATTTGAATCGAGAGTTGAAAGCGCAAATAAAAACCCATTTAAGCACTCTTTTCAAGTAAGTGCAAGAACTGATATGAGTGTTGTATGCTTATTTAGGTGTATGGCATGTATCATTTAATCGTTTAATTTTTTTTAAACGTTTTGCTTCATTAGCATCTCATTCTCTGTTTTGTTTTCCAGTTTACTGCATATCTACTGTGGTATTGACTTGATCAGTGCATTATGCACGCGCACTTATGCATGCTGTTTAGATCGTTTCGTGCAAAATTGGATTCATTTTTGCAATTTGGTTCACCGAATATCGAGCATAATTTTATCGCCTCAATATTGATTTAAGCAATGAGTGAAACAAGTTCACGTTGAACTGCACTATTTTCTCTAAAATTTCTTTCATCGGAACAACTCAAATTCCAACGGATCACTTCAGGAATAGCTTGAAATTCAATTTGCAAAACTTTGGCATTCAACGGTTGCGATATTATTTTGTATTTTTTGTTCTCGTTTCGTTTGCACTTACCTTTCTGCCATTTGTGTCGCGCATGTACTTGAACGTATCACTTGCACCAGCACTGAAGCGTATTTTTTATTTGTTGTTTGTTTTCGTGAATTAACATCACAGACCATCGTTCCTAATGTTCTGATTTTCAAAGGTCTTCTGTTGGTTTGTAATCATGAGCCTAATTACGTTTCAGATCGAAAACTTCGAATGCGAATGAAAACAACAACAAAGAAGCGGAAAAGAATTTGACAGGTTAGTTGTTTGCATCATGATCAGCTTTCGTTATCTCTTTTCTTGTTATTTATTGATTTCAAATCAAGCTTGATAAAGATCTGTGTCATTCTCGTCACAAAGGTTCATTGCAATAATTTGAGATTCCATTCTTATCACTTCTATCTCTTCCATTTGATGAGGAGTTTTCTTCTTAGAATTAATTTACTTGATCTGTCTGTACTGCTTGCAAAGTGGTTTTTTAGGAGGCGAAACGAAACCAGTGGAAAAGTGTAAGACTGTGGAAAAAATAAGTGAGCCTCCGCAGACGTCGTCGAGTTCAGCAAAAGCTGATCAGTCATCAAAGGTCTGCTTGTACAATAATAAATCATTCTTCTGAGTTGATTGCGCTCAACTTGTCACTTTCACCTTTCAGTAATTCAGCTTTCACCGTCATGTTATAATTTTGCTCGGTTTTTTCCTTTGTGGGTTTGTAATTAATCATTGAAGAGTTACATAAAATGAACGGTGCTAGTTAAATGTTTCGTTTTGTTGCTTCAGACGACGATAAGCAACGGTAACAATAGCCACAAAGTTGCAAGCAACAGATGTAAAGCAAAGAAGCTAGCGAAAACAAGCACAGATGTGTGCAGCACTGAGGAAGAAGAAACTGAATCGGACTCTGAATGTTCGTCTCCGTCTCTGGCCGGCACTGCTGATTGGTCGCAAATCAAACTGGTCAACGATGCTGTTCTTGATAGTAAAACGTTTGTTTATTTTCTCTTTTGCCCAACAGTTTTGTCGCTGTTCAATATGTTATCACAATAACGTTTGTTATTCATTCAGTACAATAAAATGTTCTTTATTAGTTACCTACAGGTGCCATTGTTTTTTTGTTAAAATTACAGATTAGAGCAGTACTGCACGAAGTCGCCATTGTCAGAAGCAGATCGACGGATGCTGAAAGAAGCTTTATCAAAGAAGCAAACTATTGGTACCTATTTAAAATTGCTGTCACTTTTTCTCAAACTAAGTAAATTATTCGTTCCCGAAAAGATGTACCGAAGTGTTTTGTCACGCAATCTATTCTAATGATTCTCATCACAGCCATATAATTTATTCAATAGGCGGCTTGGCGTTGGACCTATTCGGAAAGAAAGCACTGGAAAGGCCGCAATCAACCACAAAAACACAGTCAATACCTTCTGTAACGAAAATCATACGAAAACTTAAAGCAACTGCCGATAAATGTGATGGTATTGCTAGTAATGTTATTGCTATAACTCCAAAGCCGTTGGCTGGTAATTGCTAATCTCAAAAATAATTAGTTTTTTAGTAGTACTGATCCTAGTTAACGAACTTCATCAGTGAGTTTACTCAAGTAGTTGCCTACACTCAACGATATTGTCAGAATGATAACTGTTTATATCGTAAAAGATCAGAGTTAGAAAGAACACAATTCTGATCGTGAAAGTGAATTATTTCGTTCTCAGCATCCGCCAAAGAGAGATTACTATTGCAAATGAAGGAGGCAGAAAAGAGAGCTAAGGAGCAATTAATCAAAAATCCATCGAAGACTTATGACGGTGAACAGTGGACTACAAACGATGGCTTCAAGGTAGTTGGACAAATTACTCATTGATAAGATTTTTCGATACCTTTGTTGATCTTCGAATGTATCCACTGATCTAATCAGTTTTATCTTTTTCTATTGATCCAATCTCAAAATAAGTTAAACTGATCACTCTATTCCGAAAAATCGCAATTGAAATAAGGATATGGCTGCATCTGTATCTGAAAATTATGTTTAATGATAGCCATATATCATGTTTACCATCTACAAAGCATTGATGACATTACTGAAGGGAAAAGTAGAATCATTGGTCGATTTTTTAAAGGTTCCATCAGTTGGTAAAGTGAAAAAATGTGCTGCAAAGGAATGGTCCAAATTGGAAGATGTCTATAATAATAAGGCAGATGTAAAGGCAAATGCACATGATTACACCAGGTAAATATGTATACAACTTCATTGAAGCAAAGTGGTCATTCTATCGATTCAAACATTAAAATTGAAAACTGGGAAGCTAAACGGCTACTTGCAGGAACTGCAAACGTATCGACAATAAGGCAGGCGAGCAATCTTTAAAATCTGTCACGAACAAAAAAATGTCAACAGGAAACAAATGTGCAAAGGGTTCGTTTTGATATAAGTTGTCGTTTGACGAAAATACAGATTCGCATTGATGGAGCAACGAGTTTGCTTCGAAGTTTCGTCTGGATTTGTCATGTCCATTTTTGTTTCCGAGTTGAGTTGTTAATGTAGGTAACAGATCATTACGAAACAAGAGCGGAAAACGTATCCTATCATACGAAAGGAGTTGTCATCACGAATCAACCGTTCCCTTTGAATAATCGGAAATAAAGATCTATGAGTTTTGTAGTTGCAATGATACTGCTAAAAGTGAAGTTAATAAACAATATGATAAATCAGTTTGATAATTTAGAATCAACACTACAAACAAATTGTGTTAGTGGAGCACAAAAAGAAGCCCGTACTGCTACTCGTGCAGATAAAGAGAAGACGGATAAAATGCGCGTGAAACAAAATACTCTAAAACAGTGCAACAGTTCAAAGGCAGTTATTGACAGCTGTAAAATGCAGCAATCGGCCACGGATAAAAAGGTACGTGTAAATTTATTCTCATTCGCTGTTAGCAAATCAGTTTTATGAATGTCATCTTCTTGCACGCAATACATTGAATCTTTTGTGCTGACGAATCAGAGTCGATCGCATTTCTTGTGCAGCTTAATCGTTCGTCGCAAAAGCCTCGATGCGGTGTTACTCGTTCCTTAGTTAATATTACAGTTCTATCGGTCTATGTTACAACTTGTTATACTTTGGTTACTTATGCAATCGTCACTTGAATGATAGTACGAAAATCTGTTTCTCGAATATACGGAATGATTTTAAATTTATTATAAGAGCAATCTCAAAATTATGTGTAAAGTTGATCATAAAGGCACTGTGAAGATGTTTGCTCAAATCCGGATGAGTGTAATCAGAGGGGCGAAGTTCACATAAAGTTTATGATCTCACGATTACCTCAGTTGCGTTAATCGAATTTATCGTAATACTATTTGAGAATTTTATGCAGAAGCTTTGTGTATGTCAAGCCAAAATTTAGAGCTTCCTTCAAACATTGAACTTGGATCCTAATTTCGGTTGTGAAACCATTTTCGGAAATTTGAACGACGAAATCTTTGTGAAACATTTTGAATAGTCTTGGATTAACGACTGTTACAACAGACATAGTTAGCAGATTTGGTAATTAAACAGTCAGATCTGCGTTCATGAAGGGCTACCGCAGATCTGTTGCATATCGAGCAGGTGAGTCACTGCGGATTCAATCACTCGTGACTTAAATTTTGGTTGCATAACAGTGACTCACCGTAAGAATAAGTTTTCAGTATACAAATTCTGTTTCAATACAAATTCTGGATGATTTCATCAGTCGATTGTGTGAAACGTTAATCGTCACTTTGCGAACTGATATCCAACATCTGAAAAGTGAGACATTCCTAGAACGGTTCATTGTGGAGAGTAACTTCCAGTATATCTTTATTCTAATAAGTAGTTAATCAGTATGATCTAATCCTTTCTGCTAGTAATATAGATGAACTTGTTAGGACAATAAAAGGAGCATTTGTATGATAACTATGCGGCACGTCGGGATCCTGCAGGAATCATTGAAGTGCAATTTAGCCTAAGTTAAATTTGGATTTATGAATTATGCTTGGGTACGCTTTGGATGAGATTGAGCTAAATTATGCCTGATGCTTTTTGCAGTTTTCTTCGTTTGATCCAAACTAATCTGGTTTGACATTCTCAACACGCTCGAACTACTTTTCAACATAGCGTTGCGTTAACTTCTAAAAACGAGTACCAAAAAATAATTACCGTCGGTGTACCACTACTCCATTGTTATTTTAATAGATCACAGGTAAAATTGGCGAAATGACCAGGCGGCATTATTAAAACATCACCTTTCAGTTCAAAGCGTGTGCAGAATTTATTCTTTTTCATTTCGAGACGGAAATGGTTTCTCGAGAACGCGTTAAATAGGAACACGTCGATTGTACGCACTCCCTAACGTTCTTGCGGTTTATCGCATCTCTCGTTCGTGCATTCGGAGAGCAGCGATTATCTTATGGACTAGATGAGCAAACCAAGTGAAACATCATACAATTGCGGGGGGAGTGAGATGGTGTGAAAATGTATTCAAGAAAGATGTAAAGTTCAAGCACACTCTCGGGAGATAAGATAGTCCAAAATGGATCTTGCCTTCTTCCATGCGATGCTGGATTTGATGCACAATCGATGCGCCGGAAGTTTTTTTCAAATTGCCGGATGGCTAGAAGTGAAAAAGTCGAATGACCCCTAAATAGATAAATAAATTGCAACTTTGCAGGATTTCGAAACAAGTCCACAAAAGACAATCGATCCGAGTTCGTTGTCGAAGACACTTGATTTCAACGTTGATCTCAATGAGTTCGGCCTACATTCATTATCAACTGAAATGGCTAAAAAATTAGGTGAAGGTGGTAAATGGAACAAATTAATCGCGCAGGCTGTCGGAGTAGGCGTTAACAAAATGGGTAGGCCTATTTTATGCTGAAAATTGTTTTTTGCTTTCCCCAGGTATTAAAGAAGCCTACAAATTGAAATCGGTTGTTTTTCGGAAATGAAAAGACAAAGTAATGGTATATAAGTATTGTATTTTTGTTGCTATTTTGTGTGGATATTAGTAACAATAATTGAAGCTTATGAGAATTCTTACACCTTCCAAAATTGTACTCGTTAAAAATGAGTGTGGGAGATTGATATAGGTTCTCTTCTTCAGCTCTCTCAGGAAAACTGGAATATAAATGTGAAAATATGAAAGTACCAAGTAATTGTGAATCAAAAGAAGAAGTAATTGGATGTCATTCGGATAATGATATCGATGGTTTTATTGATGATGATGAAGATGGGGACGATGAAGATGAAGAGGTGATTCGAACGCACAGTATTTAACTACAGTTTATAAATGAGTATTCATATTTTGCTTTGTTCTGTTTATTACATCTAAGCATTCGAACCGAAAGAATCTTGATCACTGTTGAAAGATGACGATTGCTCGATGATTTACATAAATAAGAGTTCATTTGAAAGGATTCGACCGATAGCTGCTGGATTGATGTCGATCGTCCGGAAGTTGTGCATCCTCATCGACACCACTCTTGCGACAGCAAGGTACAGTCTATACTTATTCTGCTAGTCGTGAAATTGATTTACCACCTAAATTTTTAACATATATCCAGTGGTTTGCCTCATTGAATCTTCATGACGATTATACGCAAGTATCCTGTCTGTAGAAGGGCGCTGGTGCTTCAGCAGGTTTGATCGATATCAAAATGCCAATTCGATTTGATGAACTCTGCAGTGTGATTCCCTTCACATGTTTAGAACTCACTGCTTGAAACGACTAAGAATTGAATTCATCAGCTTGCTGGAGTCATCGTCTTGGATTCCTTCGCAGAATGAGTAATTACCCAATTTGCATTTTATAGAAACCAACCGAACGGACTGCATCAGGTTCTCGAAGAGATACTCGTGGACATTGTGACTGCTGCTACTGTGAAATGTTCGGACATACAGCTACAGAATCGGCGAAAGCCGGACGTGTTCCTCAGATCAGGGAAAGGTTGAGGCTCAAACTGAAACGCCGTAACGGTCAAGAGGTGAATTAATTTCTATCAATGTGCATTCATCAATTAGATGGATCAACTTGCACATGTGCTGGTTGATATGAATATATTATTCATGATGGTTTATGATAAAAGACGATCGCGAAATCACTCGACCATTCATTTGATGTTGTTTTTCTGATTTCCTTTCATAGTATTTTGAAGAGATAACGTATTTTTTGCGTAGTTTATTTATTCTTCTTTGTCTTTTTCGAGGCTTCAGTTATAGGCCAAGTCAGAATCACAATCGAAGAATCGTTCGAGTTGCGCAGACAAACAAAATTCGTTCAAAAGCGATGATAAAACGGAAACGAAGTCAGAAGAAACGAGAACAAACGTTGACCTGAAACCTGTGACGGTCGCGGATGCACCGATCGACGAGATCCTTGATTACATTAACGAAAAGGATAATGCATTGGCACAGGCAGCCGCCACTAAAGCAGCAAAACGTGCTAGACAGAAGCAACGCAAGCAAGTAGGTTCAAGGAATCATGTTGTTGCTTCATTACCCTTTGAAGCTTTCTTCGTATCAGCTGATTCGAGTTGTTCCTTTGCTTTTGTCCCACGTAATTTCAGAAAATGAACAATTCTGATTGCAACCGAATGTTTTATTTCTTCTGCAGTTTGCGTGAATTAAAATTTAATTTTGTATTGACACTTGATTGACAGTACCATTTAAAATTGTCATTTGGTTTGGTTGTATGTTAGTGAGAGTTCGATTAATTCATAATGGTTTTTTAAATACTGAAGCGAGCGTTTGCTTACAGGAAGAGAAAGAAAGATTGGAATTGGAACGAAAAAAGCAAGAGGAATCAAGAAAAGCGCAGGAAGCTGAGGCGTTACGTATGAAGAAGGAAAAGCAAGCTGCGCAGCAGGCAGCACGACGTGAGAAGGCGCTGAAGGCAGAGGAGAGAAGACGAAAGGCTGCAGAGGTACGCGCTAGTCGGAATTGATTAGATAATATTTGGTCGGCTTTTTAAGCTTTTAAAATAAATGAAGCGTAAATTAAGGATCGTGCTCGTGCACAAAAGCGTCAGAAAGAATTGTTACGGCAACAACAACTCGCAAAAGAACAAAAACGAGCACATAAATTGCAAGCAGAACGAGAAGCGATTGTAAAGAAGGAAGTGACTGACAAGACAACACCTGTTGATGGTGAATGGCAAGAGCAATCCGTAAGTGAACGACACCATGAACAAAGACAACTGGAAACAATGTCTCAAAGGACGTGCTTACAAAAGCAACCGAATGATCAACTCTCGAAGAAATCGCACTCGATCTCATCCAGTCCACTGCCAAATACTCATGACAATCGTCCGCCATCTGCACCCTCGGCCGTAACTCTCCCACAAACACCGCTTCAACGTCCACTCACCTCTTTCTCTGAATTCAAACAAAAAACTGCTTCTTCTTTTGCCTCATCATCACACCAACCCAGTCGATCTCCCCTTCAAAACGCGTCATCGTTGTCATCAAAAGCAAATGTTGTTACGCCTACTACTACCGTGTCGTATATGAAACAACTTAAAACACACAGCACCCCGTTAAAATCAAGCACTCTTCCATTATCAGCTGATAATGCTCAATTTGATTTGCCACCATCCGTGTCTGTTGATGGACACAATCGATATTCACCATCAACAATTCAATATCATCGCAATCAGCAATCTCATTTGAATCATTTTCATAACCAACCGTTGAAAAACAGTTTGAATATGCAATTTAACTCAGACATTAATTCAAGTCAGCAGTTATCTGCTGACTTCGATTGTTCACTATTTAATCCTACTGCTGTGTTGCGTTCTTGCGGCCCAATATCATCAGCACCATCGCAGTGCACATCAAAGATCTATGAAGGCAGTTTCGCTGCGACTACTTTATTGAATCAGATGCAATCAGATGCGTTCGATGCGAGATCAACGAACAACACCACTAGTCTACTTCAAACGAATAACGTTATAGCAACACCACAACTTAGTCCAATGCATTACTACAATGATGATAATATCAATAGTTTTAACAACACAATACCATGTTTCGCAACAACTTCATCACAGTCAACTATTCAACCTTCGCTAAATCAAACAGCGTTATTTGTGAACAATACTGCAGCCGATATGCATACGAATGTAGCTGGTCAACGTCACCAATATCAACCATCATATTCAAATAATTTCTCATCGGATGGATTCTTCTCAATCTTAAATAATAATAACAAATGCATGGAGACACCGTGTTCATCGAGTTCATCTCCATCTCCATCCTCCTCATCAATTTGTTCAATTTCTGCACAATCATTCGATAGGCTACCACCGTATAATGGTGCACCAATAGGTGCTAAAACGTTCGGATGCACCACAACTACTGCAAACACAATAAGTCAAGGAGGAATAAGGAACTGTTCCGAGAGGAATGTTTTACGTTTAGGTGCTGATTGTAGTAGTGGTGAGTGTTCGTCGTTAGCACACAACATCAGCAATAACGCGTCATCACGATCGAAGCCGTCAGTTAATCAAGACTCGTATTGGTCAAGCACATCGTCACTTTTTCAAAATAATCATCCATTCCCCATAATAACACAATCATTGATCAATCCTCAATCAACGGCTACCAAGAATGCTTCGCATTTGACGAACGACCAAAAAATGGTATGTGTTTTGTTTAATTTGTCCTTTATCATTACGTTTTTATTTGCGTTTTTGAACGACCCATCGCATCGCGTTTACAAACAAGGAAATGGAACAAGAAGGAAAATTGAGTCACAAAAGAACTAATCTCATTTTCGTGAGCTCGGAATGAATGTTATACAGCTTTGAAATGGATTGCGAGTGGTAGGAAAAGCTAGTATTGCGTAAATGTTTGATCAAACTTTGTTTTTCAATTGATGATTTTTGAGAATGTTGGAGCAGACCCACTGGGTGCAGCAATGAAGTGTTGCGAAACATTACCGAATCGTACTCCATTTATGACTACCTCAACAACAGCGGTTCCTGCTGCCAATCCGTTGGCAACGTATGAATCAGAAACGAAAATGTTGGCTGCAGTTGTTGAACAAGAGAGTGCATTCATTCCTGTTCCACAAAATCCAATCATTTTCGAACCGAGCGATCCACGTCTCGCAGCTGCGGTTGCATCGATGAAGTTCGATCCACATGAAACGTTCAAACCTAGACCAGAAACTGAGTTACAGTTTCTCGATCCATTCGAACAAGAAATTGAACATTTCAAACGGTTAACTTAAAATTCTTCGTTGAGTTCATCTTTAAATCATAATGGAACAACATAGAAACCATTCATTTAGAACAAATCGCTTCAACATTCTTTTCGTTTGTCTGTTTTTTTCATTCACTTCTTTCGAATTCTTTGTTGTAAGTTGATTATGAATTGTCATGAAAGAATGGGTTGCCGCAATAGAGCGTCAATGATTTTTGGATGTTTGTTTTTCATCTTTGAGAATCGTACGTATGAATTGCTGAAAAGTTATTTTTCAGAGTAATGTGGGTGGAAAAAGAAAGGAGTGCGAATCGGGCACGTGCGCCGTTATGTGAATTGCATAAACTTGAACCCGAAAACGAAGAGAATGCAGTATTTCACTTCGATCCGCTTGTGTGATGAGGAAAATTTGATTGAACACATTATATAGAGCCACCAACTGATCGTAGCCAACTTTGTTTTGCCTGTGACTGCTGTGAATTTTTTAAAAACTGTAAATATGCATATATTGACGCTGATGATGCAATTAAAGTTGTTGTGAATTGCCGTATATTTCTTACGCATAGCATTTATTGCATGAAGTTATGTAGTTTTCTGAGAAATAGTTGCAACGCAAAATGACTGAATCAAGTGAAACCTATATTAGCGAATAATAATCATGATTTCAATTAACTGTTATCACCCATGGTCACGCAATAGAACATCGATTTCTACTCGATGAAAATTTTTGTAGTCAAACGATTTAGAGAGAAGGCATATTTACCTTTGAAAAAAGGCTGTTGAAATGGAGCTGTCCATCAAATTAGGTCGCTTATAAAAATGTGGGCAACAGGTATTATCTGCTAATTTAAAACGCAACATTTCTGTTTGCACATTAACGAAATGGTGGTCTTTAATGTAATTTCACTACACATATAGCCAGTTCTCGTTTGTGATAATAAGACTGGTTCAATTATTTAGATAGTCATCCTTTTTTTTGTTATTTAATGTTTTGGAAGGAGGTATGTGCAAGGATGAAAAAGGGTTAAGTAAAAGCAAAAAGAAGCAATCAGAAAAACTTGAACGAGGGGTAACGAAGTCAATAGAATGGAAGAAAGTTTTATGAAAGTACTGGGACAGTGTGGTGTTCTCTTCCTTTCGATTTTTCCACCAGAAGATGCTACAATTGATTTTTTTGGTTGAAGTATTTGCTATCTGCGGCTTTTCAGTCATCGTCTGATTTTGCAAAACCACTTTTGACCGTGAGAAGAAGAAGATCAAACGATGAGTGAGTATATCCCCGCACCATAGGCCTAGGCTTCCCGCAAGATCTGAATTGGCGGGTCTAACAGCCTCGCTCGTGCGTTAGTCAAAACGTCTGTTACACAAAATGTCCGTTAAGCCAAATGTCCTTCGGCAAAATGTCTTTAGGCAGATTGACCGGGTACCCACCCCCCTCCCCATATACACTTCTTGCTCCCATAGTTTGTTATATACCCAGTTTTGGTGTAGATATTGTCAATTTTGGAGTTTGGAATAAGATCAACTTCGATGCAAATAAAATCATTCCTGGAACATAGTCCAGAACCAGTAATTCGTTCACAATTCCATTCTCGCAAAACCATAACTTTGAAGAAATTGCACTACAGAGGTATTACCTCTAGAACTTCGAGATCCGTTAACCAACTACTAATTCACTCGAAACTGTGCACGTACAGCATATTCAGGTATATTAGTTCAGAATCTAGATTGCTCCCCTCATCACTTGTGTTAGAGTTTTACAGACTTGAAAAATATATTCCAAATCAACTTACCACTACAGGATTATTAAATGTTCCACATTTAAGATAAAATAACCCTCATTCTTGCTAGCAACATAGCCTTTTCATGGTACAAACGGATAGAACAGGTTAGCACACTTGAATTTCCACAATGCTCACCGAATCTCGAAAATTTTCTTCCATCCCGCGATCGGGATCCCGTGATGATCTCGAGATATAGCGACTGTTAAAAAACAGAAGTATCACGTGTTCAACACATTCTTTTTGAACCAAAGCATTTGTGATTAATCACAAAACAATTCATTCAACAAATCATACACATAGTAGCATTTTAAAATCTGAGAACCATTACAAGTAAAAACATCAATTGTTGAATTTTATACGACAATATCTTAACCTTTTCTTCAATAGATTAATGTTCAGTTGCTTCCATCTGAGATGAAAGGAAACCAAACGCATTCCTCGACAAATTTTTGTTTAAAATTGGCAAACTCTTGAAACTTTACAGGTAGCAGGATTCGCGAATTAATAATTAAAACAGTTGAATTAGAATCATCAACAAAAGGAATGATCACCAGCATTGTGACGAAAAAATGGAATTAAGATTGACTGATTCAAAGGAAGCAATTTACTGAAATTTGAAATGAGCGCTGAAAAACCTTAGGGCGTTGATTGTTGAACCAATTATTCGCGTTCTTAGTTTTGTACAGAAAGAAATAGAGATTAACTCGTTCAATTTCGACGCTTGTCGATAGAATCGTTTTGATCGACTTGAACATTTTTTCTATATTCGTAGCTGTTTCCTTCGTTTCATCGTACAAATGCACTTCAAACATTCCTCTGCAGTTCACGTCGCTATTTTTTCAACAACTTAGGAAATTTTAGGAATTCAGCGTCAATTCTATTTTCATTGAGAAAGAGGTATGTATTCTGAGATGAAGCAATTGCCATCGATGAGATGCCTGAGGCTTATCATCATTTTTACTCCTTGCACTGAACATCCTCGAAGATAATTCATTGCTAGTTCCACAAAATTTTACTTCACAATTTTACACCCCGTATAATCTCTTCCTTTCCCAGTAAACGATTTGCTTCCGGACGAACGATCTTTTTGCGTTTCAAATTTCATCGCACAGCTTACAGTTTGCAGTTTCATTATCTTTTCAGAGAAAGAAATATTCCCAGCAGTGAGAATGATAACAGCTTTCGTCATATTTTTAAATATATTGGGGCGGATTTGCATTGTTCAGAGGCATATATTAAGAAAAGATGCGAAATAGATGGACCGCCATAAATGGAAGATAAAGCAACGGTGATGAGGAAATTCGATGCATGAGTGGTGGTATTATGAAATTTTTGTTCAGTGTTTTGTGAAAAACGAGATCCAAGGCGGCCGCATTACACAATGATTTATCATCCTTTCTTTACCGTTTGGACAGCAAACAACAAACATTACTACTGCATATGAATTAGCTGGAAATGATCGTCAACTTCACTTTACTTCCAATAACTGCTTTTGCATGAAAAAAAGCATGAAACGGTATATGATTTTCAATACCCGTAACATGAGTTATTGCTAGCCTTATCGGAAATGTTTTCATCTTTATCATATTGAAGGCTCGATGAGGTGGCTACTTATTTGAATTTCATCTGATTATTACCATTATTGTAATTTTTTGATTAGTGAATTCCATTTGAATAAAATTCGACATTTCCAATGAATCTCGAAGAGAGTTTGCCAATTTTTAACGGTTTTTTCCCTGGTAAGTCAACAGTGCGATTGCAGGATGATTTGAAAGAAGCGATTAGCGGACTAATTTTGCAGAGTAGCGTTTTAGCGAAAACCGCTACTATTCTTTTCAGTTAGTGATACTCTTAGCGAATGGTTTTCACTAATCTTTCGGCGCTAGTAATGGATCATATTTAGCAAAACAAAAATATTTTTTTAAACAAAGATATTTTTTCCAGTAGCATGCCACCACTGCCTGAAATCTATGAAACTCGAACAAGCCATGAGTGGAACTGAAGTGAACATTTGATAGTGTTCTACAACATGGTTGCAGTTGTTTGAGTGGGAAATTTCAAAATTCTTGAGAGCACTGATGGAAAAGATTTGTTTTGATTAAAGAGCAATAGTTTCTCGATATCATCTTCCTTTTTGTTTGCGAACAACCTCTGTTAAAGAAGTCTGTATTGTTCGCATGCTTGCATTCATCATGACAGCAAGCCAGTACACGAATGCGCAGACAGAACTGCTTTCAAAATAAAAGTGTACTATAGGAACATCACTAATCCGAGCTACTACAAAAACCGTTCACCTCCAACGAATTTTCATGTTGAGTTTTATAATCAATCTGGCTCAAAACCGAATGCTATATCAATGTCATTGACCTTATCGAGTCTGAGCCAGCTTGTACCTAACTATTTATTCATGAAATTTCTTTTTCAATTCATATTTGATTGCGATGATCCATCAACTGAAGTTCTTGCTCGTTCAAATTACACAAGGAAGAGGTAATTATTAAATATCAGTTTGATATAACCAGCCACTTTCCAACCAAACTATTTTTTGAAACAAAATTTCATACAAGTCATTACTAGATCATCTCGGAAATACTGAAATTTCAACTTCATTGCTACTTTCATGCAATGTTGCCAGGGTATATTGCTCATTTAAATCACCATTTTAACAGTGAAAATTCAGCTTGCTGGACATCCGCCTTCTCCGAATTCTTCGATTCATGATCGCAATGATGTCTGCGCCCTAGCCTTTCATATGTTTAAAAGGTGGTCACAGTTGCAGAATGTGGCAATGATGCCGACCATGTTTCTTCCTGTTGCTGTTGGCTATTCTTTTTTTGCGTCTTTATCTTTGTTTTCGATGTGTGAGGTCTTAATATTCGCTACATATAACTTACTCGGCATAATTTCGGTTGCTCTCGTCGTCTAGGTGTCTACTAAATCACTAATTATTTCAGGCAACCACGCTTCTTTCTGTCACTTTATTAATAAGCAATAATAAAGTCTTTATTCAGTTTTTATTAAGAACTTTTAATGAAATCAAGAGCTCGGATGCAATTCATAAGATGAAAAGGGAGCACCTCGTTTAATCGATTTATTTCAGTTATGTGCAATATTGTCTGGTCACGTTCCGAGGCATTCATTAATTCCTCCTTTGAATTTGAATTTCTCGCATACCCTGAAGTAAGCATTGATTCACATATTCAAGCACATTCACTATTAATCTCTCACGCGCCATCCATCCATCTGTTTTTGCTGCGCCCATCCGTCGAGTTGAAACACACGACGGATATCTGTCCGACGTTCATATGTTCAAATCCATATGATAACCACTTACTTCCATGTGCCATTGCCGTGATGTTAGATTTTTTCATCCCATCCATTGTTCGTCATGTCGTTGGTGCAATTTTTCTTCGGGCAAGTATGCTTTTCCCGCATGGTGTACATCATGCACTTTATTAAGCAGTGGAAAAATGCATATGGATATTCACTTTCCTTTGTCGCATATTTATGTGATCGTGTTTTTTCTTTACGAATGAGATTTTATGGCTCTTCATTGATCATTTCGGTGAGCGGGGAGCTAACGATGAATCACGCTCGATTTTGCTGAAATTTGTTGGTAAAATGAAGATGTGTTGCAGTGTAACGTCAAGAATGAGTCTGTCAAAATGCGAAATCGATGAAGGTAATAATGGAACGACACCGTGCGCAATTTGCTTCTCGGTATTTTTTGTTTACTCTTCTGTTGTTGTGAAGATTATTTAGTGATAGGTGCTCATGTTTTTTTGCATCAATCTACTTGAAGTCATAAAGGCATTCAGACTAAAAAGTGTATGGTTTGTGTGATCATTCGAGCATGATTCGAACATATCAAGACTCAGCTCTTGATAACGGCAAGTCTTATAATAGATAGCATACTATTATCTACGTTTCAAACTTTTCGATGCACCCCCCGTCTTTCAATGCTTTCTTACATTAAAATGCAAATGCCTTCAGTAAAGTTGTGACCCATCACCGCATCTTTCGTTTGAATATTCTGAAGACATAAACCAAATAGGTTGCGCGTTCTCATTCCAGATCTCAACGACAACGTTGTTCATTTTGTTTCAGCCACCAAAATTTCCAAGGGCTCGTGCGGATGCATGTGATCACATATTTTGTCATCCATGCTTGAGAAATTGGCTGAAGGTGAGCAGAAACTTTCAAATAATATGTAAACATTTTCAAAACGTCAAACTTTGAAGCGTCAGTATATCATCGTCAAACATTACCGATAGATGATGTCTGTTGTTCTGACCACTAAGATCAATTTCAATAACGTAGACCATGACCCCTCGTTATGTCCGAATCGTCGAATAATGAAATGATTATGTACAGTAAATGATCCTAATGAAGAACTGGATCAAACCGTTTTTACTCGTTTTATTCAGATAACAACTAGAAAAAGACCTAATAATAATGGGCCTAGTTTTGTAAGAAAAAGCTGAGTACTTATACCATATGGTTCATTCCTGTTCATGCTACTTTTTAATCCAGTTCCGGCTTGCAACAGAGATTTTGCAATCATCGCGAAATACGTTGACTGGCCATGGTAGGAGAATTATTGATTGTTGTTGCTGGGAGTGCAGCAAATTTGTTGTTAATGTAACTAAAAATGTGAACCTCTACCCCGAACGGTTTTTTAGTAGCCATGAAGCCCACATTATTTTCTCGTATTATTCCAAAAAACGTTAGCAGATTATTTCGAAAAAAAAAAACGGCAAAAGATGTCTCAGCACTGCCTCATTATGACTCACCAGGAGCTTCCAATAACTCATCGGGAGCTTCGAATCCAAACAGCTCTGTGAAGAAATGCCATTGAAACAAAACAAGACTGAAGATTATTTTTCTCAAAAGCTGCACTCTATCTAGATGGTTGATGGGAAAAGCGGTTGCAGACTACACTTGAACCAGTTCTCGTGACTTAGCCTAATTAACACTAATAAGCTTTATACAACTCAACAAATGTTATTCGAATAGTTTCGGATGTGAGGGATAGACTAAATTCCTAAATTCTTGTAAAACGTGACAGAACTGCTTCCTAATTAGGATTAATGAAGTTTCAGTGTTCGTAACTGAAACTAATAATGCTCGTTGTTTGTGATGTGCAACAAATAATGCACTGATGAAATAAAAACAGTGATCCTTGATGACAGCAAATTAGCAGTCTGAAAAAAGTTCATTGAAAAGATTTGTGTACACATGAATAATTTTCGGATGATGTTCAGAGAAGATCCGAATGCCCACTTTGTAAAAGATCAGCAAAAGTGCTGATCAAGATGTATAAGAACGGTCGAACACAGCAAATAGCAGTGCAACAAAGGACGGCTTCTGATTACGAAATGGAGGTAAGTTATTCGTCGTTGTTCTGATTTTGATTTTTATTGAATAGTTGGGCGAGTTACAGTCGTCTCGATGTTACATCTGTGAGTGGTTACTTTAATTTCTGAGCCATTGTTCTTGTTATCTTTGGACTCCGAAGATTGCTTGTTAGAGGAGTTGCATTAATCTGACTTTCTTGGTTCGAATTTAAGCTTTTACGTTGGAACTGGATTTTCCGCATGAGTGTATGCTCAAGCCCAAATGCAGCCCTACAGCCAGTTAACTGTGGCATTCCAAAAGTTAAACATTCATTACGTTTTCATGTTTATAATCACGTGGTATCAAGGATCGTCTGCAATATTGAAAATTCCGTAATCCGAACTCGCGATGACAAACTTGACTATTGCATAGATGAACTGAACTAGTAAGTAAACGTAATTAGCAGAAAACGCTTTTGATGACTGTTTTCGTTCATCCGTACAATTTGCATTAATGACTACGGTAATCATCTTTTAAATATGATTCACTACTCCATTAATTAGTTCACTGCATACGGGACAACAACTTTGGATTTATGTGCGTCTTTATCTTCTAGTTTTCTCATTCCCGTTCCAGTACTCTTTACTCCACTCTACTGCCTCTACTTTTCTTTCCACAAAACTGATCATTCTTGATTATGATCAGCACCTGTCCGCTACGATTTTGTTGCAATGGATTTTTTTTTAATTTCTTGAATCCACGGTTTGTGTGGTCTGATTATAGGTATTTTGCCTAGTAAATGTTGATTGATCGACGTGAATCAAGAAATTATCATTAAGCATATTATTGTCTTTTCTTTTTATCAGTAGAAATTAACTGACAAACCGGTGCCGCATGTTGTTCTGCAGTTCAATTGAAATATCACATTTGCGAGGCATTGTTGCAATAATGAAATATTCATGGCGATTTCGAGAATACCATCCAATAAATACTGCTGGTGGGAAAAGAAAGGCATACATATTCAGAGACGGGCAATAGCGCGCTGTCACCTTCAAGTAGCAACATTTGATTGCGGTAGCTCCCGCTATTGTCGTTGGATAGCGCTTTAGCGAACTCCCTCTCTTATTCATTCGTCTGCAAGTGAATACATATTTCTTGCATCAGCAAGATACGTAAATACAAATTTGCGCTTTAACACTGCACTAAATTCGAACCTACCGTACTCATACCCTGTAATGACTGATAGTTTGTATCAAATCGTTAAATCGTTCAGTTACGTCAAACTTGGGTGATTAAATCATATTAAGCACATCAAATATTCGAAAATATCAATCGCTCAAGTTATTCGTAGCGTAGCTTATATGATCCTTACAGCAATGTAAATAATAATAATAATAGCAGCAAGAATGATGACAATAATAATATAAAAGAATAATCATTTACGAACGGATAAGGCCGAGAATAGTCAAGTAATAATAACTATGATTATATTAATGATACTGATGATAATAACAAAATAATGGTCATAATCGCGATTCGAATAAATACGAGTGAATAACGGATTCACCCGATTTGACGACTAACATCGTAAAGAAATGATTAGTATATTTCATACATTTAATTCATAGATTTAAGGTCAACCTATTTTGTATGTATTTTTTATATGATTACCCGTCTGTTTCTTTTGGATATTTGTAAGGAAGACTATTCATAGCTTACATTTATATGGCATAAACATGTTTATTTATGTTAGCTTATATTTTAATTAATGCATATAAGGCTTTCTTCTTTATTCATTGCTAGATAAGATTCCAATCTGTTTATCATACGTATTTTAATACTGTATGACCTATTTATACAATTTAGCTGAATCCTTTCTTCATATTCTTCAAATCTCATGACTCGTCTTATCAATTCCTTATTTTTACTAATTCTCTCTCTCTCGCGACTGCCAGTCGTGACGTACTCTTCCAAACGGTTTGAAGTTGAGTATTCAATCATACCTCAACTGTTTGATATAAGTACACCACTAGCATTCCGTCTGAGCTTAATAAGGTATTCGGCTTCAAATGTGTTGGGTGGAAATGCTACGATGCTTTCTTTGCTTTCGTTCTCGCTGTGAAAGGACATAATTGATATTTATTCGGATCATGTGTGCAACTGTGTTCGCTGTAAGTGTTTACGGCACTTTTCTAATTTAACCTGGTATTCGGATACGTTCCCACATTGACTCTTCAAGACGAAACGTGTGTATCTTCTTCGAGCACTTTTAACGACATTAACGTAGCGTTTGTTATCGTATTGACCTGGGAAAGATCAAGAGGAAGAGGTTTATACTAGAATGAGCGAATTTAGATTACGTACTTTGCTTAGTAGGGATAAGATAATTAAGCTGAACGCTCTCAAGGTGAGTGATGCTCTGGCGTTGGCTTTTTTAAGTATACTGAAAGCATGATGATGACATTTCGAACTTCAGCCGTTTATGACGCCTTGCTCTTGGATGAATGAGGAGGGGCTAATTCTTGATTGTGGATGTTGACGGGGTTATTAGGATTGCTCTTAACAATCTCTTTTGTTCTGGAGCTAGCAGTGAAAACCAGTTTGGTGGCAATTGGTCTATGAAATTAAATGTAGTTTGTAAATTGTTGAACACCTTAACACCATCTGCAAATGGGATATGTTTTCAGTTAGCAGCAGGCGAAGAATCGCATAGCGAAGAATCAAACTACTATTCGGAGGAGGAATCGATTGTCGAGCCAAGAGCTGTCGGTGCGAGTTGTATTGTATGCCATCAGTCAAGCCGTCCAAATACTATGCGCTATTGTGTCGGTATCGTCGGCCGTGATGCGGACGGTAGAGAAATCAGATGTAATGAAAGGTGAGTTTGTTTGCTACTATCGCTCGGTATGGTAATTAAGTGCTGTTCGGTCAGAACTCGAATTGCAGCTGAACAGTTTAATTGCTGTGAAAGGACCAAAAAAGTCATCTTTCATGACTCTTTCCTGTTATTTGCACAGATTTAATTTTGCAGAGAAATTTCCAGTTAGTTGTGAAATTCAACGGAAGTCCTAGGTTTTCTTGGTGTTATTCTTCAACTTTATTTTTATTTTGAAGAGGTCTAATTTTGAGAAATTTCACAATATTAGAGCTGGCGAATCATCACGATCATATATACTTTATTCAGATTTCATTCTCGTTGTCATCTGGAGGGTCGTTCACCTAATGGTAGCTGGTTCTGCCCGTTTTGCGTGGATATGCTTGTAAGTACGAATTTGAATTACGAAAACCCATTCGATGAAAGTAAATTGTCGTATCGAAGCAAAGTATTGATGATTTTCGATTGCGTTCGACATCAAGTATGTTTGAAAAAGTTACTTTAGTAGTTCGGATGAGTGTGTGTCTGAGCAATCAGTTAGCGTGAATGTGGAGTTTTACAAAGTACTGAAAGAACTTGTACATTGTTTCAATCAACTCTTGATAAATCAGTTAAGTTCCCCTCTAAATAGTGCTGTATTAGTATTGAACTTATTCTGTGTTTTCAGCACGTTGTCGAAGGAGACAATGAAGCCTACTTTCATCGAAGTGGTAGAACAAGATACGTCAGCAGGAGGTCAACTTCATATGTATCTGGACCATCTACTCGCCATGGTGAGATGACTGAAAGAAGGAAGTCGCCATCATGTGAGCCTGGACCATCTAGACGCTTATATGAGCCGAATGAACAATCCTTGCGAAGTATGGTAACGAAGTTACATCTGAATCTGAACTTTTTGAATTAAGTATTCAAATGCATTATTTCAACGTTACTGTATTACAGGACGACGTCAGACATGCGTTGAAGAAGGTGGATGGGAAACGGAATCTGAAACAGAAGCATCGTTCAACTCGTCTGGAAGTGATGAGTCAGATGGTGAAGATAATGAAAGCATGAGGAGTGCTACGCCATCTGATAGTAACTCCGCATCAGAAGGTGATTCTTTGATTGTTTCTTCAAGTCATTTTGATGTTAGTGCTAGTGTCGCATTACGCTTTAAGTCACGGGTGAAAGAGTTGGAGAGCAGTTATTTAGCTACAAACAGTTAAACGTTTTCACGTATTGTCTGCCAGGCGATGTTCACTTTCGCATTTCCATTTGTTAGTACTTATATTAGTAGGAAGGTTTTTGATTCTTCTCTTTTTGTTGTCATTTTCGTGCTCTGGTGTTGAGGAGAATAACATCATTTGCTTTAATTCGAGGAAATATTTGTGAAAAAAATTGCATATGAATCGTATCATTGTGTAGTTTGAGATTTTTGCATTATTCACAATCAGTGTTTCCCTTCATAGTGCGTGAGCAATAATTTCATTTAGATCGTTTTTTGGTATTATATGAATAATGCGTTTTGAGGTGGAAATGATTGGAGTATGATCGATGATGTCGTTCTCTGTGAAGAACCACAACCAGGATATAGTGGCAACGGTTTCACAACAGTATCGAGAAGCCGGAAACGCAGGAAGCGTCAAGGAAAGAAACGATCACGGAAAGGAAAGAAGCGGTCACGCCGCACAAAGAAAAAAGTTTGTTGCCATTGAATGGAGTGACAGAAGGAGTTGATTGAGTTATTTAGGTTTATTATGAATGGATAAGAGCTTTTTTTACGCTTAAAGAATTCAAATATTGTGTATAAGTATGAACTTAGAGGAAGCCGGTGACTTTGATGAAAATCAGTTCAAAGGATGTGATTTTTTTCTTTCTAGTGGTAAATAGAACCTTTACTAAATATTTCTCTATTCTTGGAGATGTTAAATTTTCAGAAATTACCAAATGTTCGTCAACGTTTAGCGAGTATAGTGGGACTGAATATTCGTACGGGTCGAGTTAAACGGCGTAGAGCGATGCGAAGGTAGCCAAATTTCGCTTCTCTGTGAGATAAGAAATTTAGAGCTGTTTCTACTCAACACAAACGTTAAAATTCTAACGCAACGCAGGCAGTTACGCTTATGAGTTTTCGATAATAATTATATCAGTACTTACCTGTTTTTTTATTTATCTTCAGCATACCGGCGCTCCCTTACAACGAAGTCGAAGTCACCGAAGTTTCGGTAAAGTAAGTGATTATTTGTGTTCCATGCCGTTTTTTAAACTTTCATTTCAAACTAGAGTACACTTTTTTGATGCATTTGACTGTTGCACTCTACTGTTAGTATCAAATAAAAGCGACGAGATCGTCAAGTATACCATTGTTGATCTACACTGCATCGCGGTCTAAAAAGCCTGCAAGAGTGTTTATCATGTTTAATTCATTTATTGTTCAAAAAATTAACTATCGCTTCTGTGATGTAAAGTTGTTTCTGTTAAATGCAAACCATTTTTGACGTACAAATTCTAATGAAAAGCGCTTTTGCTTGTCAATTCCATACAGTTGTTTCATGCTGATGTTATTATGTTATGTAATTTCCTGTTATGCATTATTTATTTCATCTTTTTTTTCGTTTCAGTACCTCAGTATCCCCGTGCAACGAAGCTCCAGTCAAAGAAATTTCAGTACAGTAAGTGATTATTTGTTTTTCTTGTTTTTTTTTTTTGAGCTTTCGCGTCTTTTTAATCCAATTCTTAATTCGAAAAATATGTAAAACAATTCGATTATTTTATTAGGAATATCAATTTTTCAGTGGCGAAGCACTTTGATTTCCAAATGAAACTAATCATTCATTTTATTCTGTGTACTTAAATTCCCACTTAATTTGATCGAAAGAATCTTATTGATTGTTCGAGTGTCTCGATCATTCATGCATAACTTCGAGGAATATGAACTTAATATTTAACGTTATTTCGTGAAGGGACTCGAAAGAAAATAGATCTAAACAATGGTTTGCTCTCAATTTGACGAGAAATCAGAGAAAAAAAAAGATGTAAATGTATATTTATTGTGAAATAAGCCAGCGTGCTGTTAACGTAAAATAAGTGATGAATCAAAAATGACTGGGTGATCATGACATAATTTGGAACGAATTTCTTTAGCTGAGCGATGAGTGAATGTGAGAGAACATACGAAACGAAAGAACTAAAGAAATGCATATCGTTGTTGTGAAGTTTAGCGCCCTTAACTGTTGGGTGTTTTCTCTTCGGAAGTGAATATGTGTCAATTATATTGATTTTTGTTTTGGTCTCTGGAAGAAGGCCATATAGGAAGAGCAGCGAGGATCACATTTGTCGTTCTCTAACGCTTCTCAAAGAAATAAGAAACAGTATTGGATATCGCAAACATCTCGTCTGATCCACATTGATGTTTTATTTCCATATGCATATCCTCATGCCGAATATTCCACACTTTATTCATACCCTCGTGATTCTTTTTAGTGTTGTTATCAAATCCAAGAAGTTTTACTTGAAAAGAGAATCAAGAACGGTATAGGATGAGGTTGATAACCTTTTCAGAACGATTCTGTAGGGTTTGTCAGAAAAAAATGAGAAGAATGAGTAAAATTAGTAACGCATTCATTTCGAATGAGCAGAAATTAATGCGATATATGTGAAAAAGATGTTGTTTGGATTTAGAGTAGGCCCAAGTAACGCTTTTATGATAATACATCGAATCATATGGAACAGCCAACTGATTAACGGGATACATTTCTGTGGAAAGAATGTAAACATTTCGTGATTTTATTAGTTTATTCAGTGAAGTGACATTCAGAAATATGCAAACCTAGAATTCACAATTTGATTCTCTGTCTTGTTCTTCACCTTGTTTTCCTAACATCTTCAAATATTGGTTCTGGTCCAACTCACGCATATCCAGTTCACCTAACTAACTAATCATCATTAGTCATATTTATCGTCCAACTTTGAATATGTCTCTCCCAACTAGCTGGCTTTGCTCATGGTATGAAAACAAGTGACGAAATGCGTGATCGGTCAATCTGTCATTTAGTCTAACGACAGTTTGCCTAAAGACACATTGCCTAACGGACAAGTTGCAGAACGGATAGTTTGCCTAACTTATAGTTTTTTAGTGGATACTTCGCCTAATGCGCAAGCTATTCCTCAGGCAAACTGTCCGTTAGGCAATGTGTCTTTAGGCAAACTGTCGTCAGGCTAAATGACAGATTGACCGGGTACCGATGAAATGAGTAATTGAGTATTGCTGATTCACCAACAAAACGGCATATTCATTGCAAAACATGCTTTCTGTTGGAATTCTCATTTCCTCATTAAGAAATGATAAAGAAGCCTATTATATCGTTCATCAGTTGCAATTAAAATATTTGTGTCTTTCTTGAGTTCGTCGTACTGGATTTCGTTTCTTCGCAATACTTATTGATTTCTGTTCGTCCTCTGAACGATCACTCTTCATCATTCGAAAAATCTTGAATTGAAAAGTGCTTTGTAACATACATATCGCTCATTTTGATTGAATTATCTTGTATATATATATATATATATATATATATCCTAAATTATTTAATGAATCTTTTTTAAGGGAATCGTCCGATGAACCAAGAAGGTATGTTAATCAAGTTTATTTTTAATTTCTTGACAAAGTAACTATGAGTTGTCTGTCCGTTTAAGTTATTTGTTAAGAGATTTTTATAGAACGGCACAGTTCATTGATATCGTAACGCGTTGTTCATATTTTCACCGTTATTCAAATTCATTAGCAGTGCTGAACATTGTCGTTCTTTGCAACCGCACGATGCAGATGCGCTGAAATAACAATTATTGAGCGAATTCTTCTCGAAGATGTGTTACCTTCTACTGCAGTCGCTTGCTTTACTTTATAATGTCATAGTCAAAATGATAATATTTCTGTTTTTTTTTGTGGAACCATTCACAGTACATTCAAATATTTCAAAGAATATTGCCTCATTGTCAGTAGTTTAGCGATAACGGTATTCGTCACATTTGAAGTTAACAATTGCTTGTGACATGGTTATTTTTTTGATTTGTTGGTTTTAGTGAGACACGTAATGTCGATTTATTGGACACTATAATGATGGAACAAGCCAAAGTATTGGCACCGTCAAATTGTAGAGCATTGACCAGAGATGGTACCGTACGAGAAACGAAACTCATGGCAGAATACATCAAAAAAGTGGACGAGTCAACTTCAAATCAAGTGAATTATTAGAAATATTAATAACTATTCAACTCTTCAAGGATTACGGTTTTAGCTCATTCTCTTGAAAATGAAACTGAAATCGTTCATTCCATTGGTCGCATTCCCACTTTTTTGTGTGCGAAAATTATCAGTTAGGAAAATTTAAGTTTCCCAATCTCTCTCTGTCTCTCTTTCTATCCGCATTCACTTCAATCACTGATAGCGATGCAGTGACGGCTGTTGTAAAAAAATCAAAACGTGGAATTTTAGGGAATTTCTGAAATGAATTAGGAAATATTCTTCAATTCTGAACAATGTTTTCTCGAATAATGTTCTCATTATTGAGCAATCCCACTTATCAAAACGTTTCATTATGCACAGACGGCTGTCCAGTTCAGAAATTTATGCTCTATTCGGTGAGCTCCTTTTTACGTTTCAGTTTTAGTTTTATGTTGTCTCATTGGTGCTTGCATCAAATAATTCGACTGATCGTGTTTCATGAATCCTGTTGCGTATTGTTATGGCGAGGTGTGCGATGATGGTAATATTTTAATGTTTATTGGTGACTATTATTGTATCTTCATATATCCTCTTTTTGATGCGTTTTTTCTTTCTTAACTCGGTTTGTCGAACAATGCGGTGTTCGTTCAGTAACTCTTATCCTCATTAGAATGCACGTTATTTGGGGGGGTTGTGGATTGTTTGGTTTTACGATAATATTTTGATTGTTCGTTTAAAAGAACATGTTTTGTTAGGGAACACAACTGATGCACCACCAATCACACTTCGCTATCAGCACTTTAAATTCAGAATGATAATCTCATGTCTTCACTTGCTTAAATAATGCTTGCTCGGTAGGTACTTCTAGCACTTTCTGCTACTTGCAGTGAATTGTGCATAATTTTGGCGATGTCTTCTCATGAGGAGGTACTAAAGATTTTCACTGATTTGCTTGCAGCTAATGCAGTTTCTGGTATTTAGGTAATTCGTTTAAACAAAGATCGATCATGCAATTAGTCTCTGCATCAAAGAAATGATATTATGTTTATGCATGCAAGTAGACGACAGAATATTGCGTTAATCGATCAACTTTTATGTAGTTCAATTTTGATTGATAATTTTCAAATTACCTCTACCATGTAACTGCAACAAGTATAGAATATGCGGCTTGGCGGTCGGTAATGGAAGAAGGGAGGGTGAAGAAAATTGGGGCGAGGAGATTGAAGTGAGATGGAAATGTGCAGCTTGGAAGGATATGAAGAGGTGAAAAGTTCGAGAGGGTATAGGAACGAGTCGGGGTATATGTTCGGGGGTTATACGTTATGTGAAAAAGTATGACGAATGAAATAGGGAAATGTAAGATAAAAATTTGTGGATGAAGATGAAGTTGTGCTGTCAGTTGTAATGCTCGATGATAATGTTGTTCTATACTGCATTAACTTATGCTTTCTGCTTATGCGATATGATTTGGTGTGCATCTTCTCTGATGATGCATCTTTTCACACCTATTACCGCAATGTAATAATGCTCTCGCAGAATGTCTAAGATAGATCTTCGTTACTTCACAACTTCCGTTTGATAATTTATCAACCAAATACTTATATCTCAGTATATAATTGAATTCGTCATTGTTTCTCAAAAATGATCCACATTATCATTCCTGCCCGATGCCGTGGTCAACACTATTATTACCACGATTGCAATTATTCGCATCCTTCAAGTACTTTTCTGTCTAGATTGATATTATTTTCATTATCACATAACATGGCTTTAATCACATGATTCGTTTCGAAGAGTTATAGGTAACTGCGTGAGTGTTTCCTCATTTTCCATACGCAGAAAATGGGATAATCTATTCGCTCAAAAAATACGCCAACATTTTCGTGAAGTGTGAAGTATCATCAATTTCAGCGTCGTAAAGTCGTTCAGTAGTATGAAAAATTACATAAAACATCAACATTCAATGGCTAAAATTGTGAGTGTAAGATGATCGTTGTAAACAAGGTGAGAATTATGCGCACTGAACCAAAGCATATCCCAACAATGATCTCTGAGCATTTGATATTCGTTGCTTTCTTTTTTGTTTATTCCTTTGTATTTCATATACACTTTATTCATCGAATGCGCGTTTTTTGATCTCATCACCATATCAGAATATGCTTGTTGCTTTATGTCAATTGTATTTCTTCGATTTGTTCATGCGTAATCTTGTTTGGCCCCCCGGGAATTGCTTTACGGATAGCCTCGCAGATATCGGTCCAAGCGTACGATATGTCCCTAAATAACTTGACTCGCATAGCCTGTTGCAGCTCCAAAAAATGTACCGAAAGCTTAGAACCCGAAGAAGACTGTTTTGGAGGCATTGCTGTTCGGGTTTCTCAAAATAATGATGTGCAGTAAATGGACGAACGTATTCTGTATTAGTTCATTATCATTAATTTAATCGTTCACTGACTTTTCTGCACAATTTTTTGAAATTATTGGCTAACTTCGATTCATTTGTTTTCAATTTCCATTCCAGTGAAAATAATATACTAAAACAGACTGGATTTAAAATTGTGGGTTGTTTCAAATATTAATTGTTTATTGGTTCTAAAGAATCGAGTATGCATGCATTCAAAATTCAATCTTCGCTTTATTGTTGTGTTTTTATTGGTAGTTGCTTGATTCGGTGCAGATGTTATATCACGACAATGTGATTCGAAAAATGTTAACGGTCGAACGATTTATTCCTTTGCTATTCCTGGACAGCCGTCTGAGCATTAAGCGTTGCAGCGATCTCATTTTTGGATGATATCGTCACTGTTTCTTTGTACGTGGATTTTAAATCACTATTCAAAAAGGTCGACTTCCCACATTTTCCACGTTCAAAAATTCTGCAAATTCGGTTTTTTCCATTCGATTTCAATAATCTAACACCTATTAGGAAATCAGCCGCATTTCTTTCCTACCCACATTAAAAGATTTGCGATGAGGGTAACGAAGAATTATCCTTTTACCGTCTTCGTTTGCTAAAAATTACCCAGCTGAAAGCTCCTCACCTAAACCAGAAGTTTCAATCATGTATGCTAGATTTTTTCCCGAATGATAGATTTTGATATTTTATGCGTATCTTGTAGGCAAAAACGTTATTGCTGGTATGCATGCACGCGTTTATGCATAAAATTTGAAAATATTGCAAAAGAATAAGTTTACAATTAGAAATGAATACACATCATATAGTCATGATGAATGTGTAGCAATTTGTAGCGTTTATCTTTTTTTGATGGCAGGAAAAAGGAAAGAAATGTATTTTATTTGTTTACGATATTTTTTGTTCGCTGCGAGTCACGAATAACGTTTTATTATCGTCGTACGAAAACGTTTCATATACTGGTTGGAGCCGACTAAGAACTTGGAGTAATACAGAATTTCGTCAGAAGTCCCCACGAAGGATGAACTTTTTTTGAACAGTAAAAAATATGAAATTTTATTGCTAACAAAACACATGAAGTTATTAATACAAGCATCTCTGACGATCAAATTGAGTGGCTGTGATTACGTAAGGTGTTTCCCGTTGCTGAATGTCAGGAAACAGTTTTATAAGATGAAAATGTGCTTTTTGCTTAGTCTTGTGGAACTTGCGGTCAACTAGCATTTGGGAGATTGGTTTGGGATTCGATTTCTATCAGAAGTTGGCTCGAACCAGTATTTGGACGCACTAATTCTACATGTCGTTGTATTCGCTGTTGATCGTTAGTTGAGTTTTATTTTTGAAATACGGTTTAGAAAACTTGATTGAATTTCACATGTTTATATCACTATAGATGGATGTCCAACATGTTGCCGAAAACAACGTCAGAAGAAATAATACACGTAAGAATCGTTCAACACGATGGGATAATCCGTCGACATCGGCAAAATTGATGCAGAATGCGAACAGACCTGATGATCTCAATAATACATATAACAATATTAATTATAATACTGCAAATACTACTACTACAGCAATGAACAATAATATTAGTAAGATCACAGCCGCATCAATCCCTTTACCAAGCGGCCCACCTCTGCCACCAATCTCACTTGATAATATTCCTATACCTAATCGATCCAGTGCACTATCTGCTTCTATATCTTCGATAAATAGTAAGTCCAGTTTGTTGCTTATTTAATTATTTCCCAAATCCACTCAATTAAATGCATTTTGGTGAATGTGTTGGGCGGGGTATTTTAGATTGTTTTTAGCTTGAGGTTTTCTTGGTTTAATTGATTAAAAAGTTTACTTCGTAGTGATGATGACAATACTTTAAGCAACGCCGTCAACATCATTTGCACTGAATCTCGCACCACCTTTCGGTTTAGCGCCTCCGCTTGGATTGTCGTCAGTTGCAAATGCACATCTCGGTCAGCTGCAACTTCCATCGCAAATGTTCCCGAATATTTTAATGCAGCCATCATTTCCAGTCGGAGCGAGTGCGTTTGTTCTTTTGATGCATTGCCTTGCTGCTGCGGTTAGCAATTCATTTGATTATATGTACGAATTTGGTACGTAAACTGCATATCTTTCAGTGAATAACATTCTGGCAGCAGGTATCCTGGGAAATGCGTCTTTGGGCTCATCGATATCACAGGCGAATAACCCTTTTGTTCTTGGTCAAATGCCTAACCAGAACGCTCATCTGACGCAACAAATTGCCAACTTAACTTCATTTCAATCAAACGTATCTAGTGCGCAACAGCAACGTCTACCACTAGCTGGTGTTCCTCCTCCGCCACCGTTAGCAAACAGACTTCCCGAGACGGATGCAGCTTCTCTAGAACCGTTAGCCGAACGAATTCGTCAACTGACCGAAGGGAACGTCATTCATCCATTTGGTGAAGTATGTTTTTTTTTCATTTCAGTGCTATCTATTTCTTCAAAGCACTTAACTTTTCATTCCAAGTACCATTTTAATATTCTTCTTATATACAATTATTGATCGGCTTAGTGAGATTTTCTAAAATTACTGTTCTTTTCTATAAAGCAAAATGAATGTCCACTCTGTTGAATTATGTATTCAGATACTGTGTTTATAGAATACGGTATGCGGAAGTGGTATGGTTGTAAAGCAGTGCAAAGAAGACGTGAAAGGAACTAATGAATGGGGTGGACGAAAGAGTGCGAGTGCTGAAGAAGAAGAACAAACAATTGACAAAGATGCAAAAGTACACAAGAATGGACCAATGTTCGACCAGGCTCGTCAGTTGCTCTCTGAATCGCTCAAGAAGGCTTATAAGTGAGTGCTTCTTGCTCATTCATAGCGCTGTGAATGGGTTTATTCATATACATTCATATAATCTGGTTGCATTATTTACTTAAAACTAAATGTTTTTTATAGAATTGAGGTTTAATATAACCTAATGACTTCAGGAAGAAAAGAATCACTAAGGATGAGTACAAAGAAATTATGAAGAAAGGTGTGGCTGCATTGTCGCAACGCACCAAACTGGATGAGAAGAAAGTGGCCGAGTATGCGAATAAATATGTAGAATATATGTTGGCGAAACGTGCAAAAAAATAATCGAAAGAACACAGAATCGCTACAAGGTAGAAAGACTCGCATGCAATTCAGTTAATTTTAAGTCGATGTTCATAAGATTGTAATAATGACAGTTTCTCAACGGTCGATATGAGTTCTTTAGACTATTCTGGAGATATTCGAAATGGATTTCGCATGACACTAGTGTACTCGAAGTAGTGGAAAACGGAGGATAGAAAGAATCTAAGAGACAGAACTTCCTTGGTGAAGGTTTATCATTCAAAAAGATGAAATTAATACTAATCATTTGTTTTCGTACAACTGCAGTTAGGTTCTATCATCAAAACGGGTACTTCTTCAATTTCACTGTGATTGTTTCGATGGAGAGTAACATGTTCAAGACTGGAGCTGCCCTAATACTCCTACAGAATTTTTTAGTTACATTTTTATTGTTACTTACTGTCGGAAACAGAATTCATATTAACCGAATGAACATTTCCGAGTCCTTGTTCGTACCTTGAGTGGTTCATGCTCGTCCCGATTTGTCTTTGTGTTGTTGATTGTTCTCGAATTCACTTTCAGTTTCGTTTCGATGTTAATTATCGGTTGTTTTCAGCCGTTAAATTTTGTTTTATTTCCCTGTAGTCGTTTAACGAGTGCCTAAGTGAGTTTTATTGATTGTTTTTGACACTTTTTAATAACATTCTTATCCTTACTTACTGTCGAAAACAGAATTTTGATTTATCATTCGCTGTTGTACTATATGAACGTCTAACTTCTTACTGCTTCCAGCCCTTTTCATTATTCTGATTGACTGAGACTGTGATGGCTGTTATCGGCTCCACATTTTAACGTTCAATCATTACACGTTTACTTTCCCTCTCAATATGAGCATTTATTTGTTCCCTTTATATGAAACATCGTTCTCCCATCTCTTAAAGTTTATAGTTTACAAGCAAAATTTGTTTCTTTATTCAAACTATAAATGAAAAGGGTTTAAAACGGCCAATTTTACTAAAGCGTTTACGTTGATTTTTTGCTTTAATTGTTACCATAATATTTGATTAAGGATTAGTTTCAGAACGATTGTTTCGAATGTTATTTATTACTGAGTTATTTCCACACTGCTAATGCGAGTCTGTTTCTGTTACTGATTTCTTTGATAATTCTCAAATGTGAGAGTATCGGTCATTTTCATCGAATACGTTTAATCAGTGATCATATTTCATGCATCTCGTCAACCAGGCTCATTTCTAAGGAAAAAAATGTACTATTCCATCCTTTCATCGTACTTTCATCTGAATTAGTCATTTTACTCAGCCCGGTGGTGCGAGCATGTAACGTTACATTGTATCCATTAGTGCCGGAAAAATATCTCACCAAAATTTTCACCTACGAAATTTTTACTTATTGAACTATTCTAGAACCTTTTAAATTGTCAAACAGTACAACTACTGAAACTATTTCTAGGTCAGTTAACTGCTCTACTCCTACTCATTATTTTTGGTAGATGCTCGTCAGCAATCCACTCTATCATGAAATATTTAAATTCACGAAGTACAAACGGTTTCACTACGGTAATCTGATGTGAACTGTTCGAATGAATTTCTCTAAAATGTACTCGAAATTCAGTGATCATTTCAGTGAAACATTCTCAATGATTGAACAGTAGTTTGGAAAATACTAGAGCCGAAGTAGGTCACCGTTGAAGACAAGCAGGTAATTAGTTCTGTTCAGTGCTCATGTAAATTTTGTGATGTTTGTTGTATTTTCATCGTTGATTCTTCCATCTCTCCTGGGTAGCGTGCGAGCGAATAATTAACGTTTCGACGGGGAAACATTTTTTTAAATCCTGCGAGTCATTATTTTTTCCCACATTAAGCATATCAGAGTCGTTTTCAATTTAGCACCGCCATAAGATTACGTCATATAAGCTGCTGATTAATTCGATGGGAAATCCTTGAAAATGTTCATCATACGGCTAAATTTGCGATAAAAAGGATACTTAGCAAAAGTATAAAACTTATAAACTGAAATCAATCGAAAATTGTAACCGATTAGAGCCACTCATCAAAAATGTAAACTTCACAGTATGAATATTCGTGTGGAGCAGGACTAAATGTTTAAGTTATTGCTGTTGTGAATTTGATGTATGAAATGTTGATGTAATTATTGATGCGATTATTAATTTGATGTAATTTTCGTTCATTTATATATAGTTGTCTAAAGATGTGATTGATTGTTGAAGTATTTATTTATTCGCTTGATGTTCTTTTCTACATTGTCTCAGCATTAATGAAATGAAAACAAAGCTGATGTTATCGACAGAACTTGCGGTAATTGGCACGATAATTATTCGTCTTATGATGAAGTCTCTTTGAACTGCTGTAAAATTCGAAATCAGACAAACGGAGTAACAGTCAAACTAACTTTAACGTTTCTCACATATGTTCATAACCATGAATTGTGAGATAATTATGAAAGAATTGTCAACGTGCGAGAAAAAAAAACGACTTTTTTCTAAACTGGAAGAACAAGTGCCCACTGGGCTTGACTGGATATTACCAATTTCATCAGTGAATGACGCTTGGTGGAGTAATCTTCAACAGAGTTGCTCACAAATCGTCAAGTTTCTTAAACTGGTTCCTTGCGGTGAGTCGGTTATCGCAGAAATTCGGTGGTTACAGAATTTCGCGCGTTGATTACTGACCTTAATCAGAAAGTGAAAGTGAAGGCGTCACGATAATAGCAATCGAGGTTTGGTAAGTAATTAATCACTAAAAATAAATAGATTAAGGAGAATGATGACCGCTAGATATCGTGAATTTCAATTGTTTGAATTGAACTGAATTCGAATAATTGGATTTGCGTTTTGGATTGAACAAGTGAATTTGAATTGGTGAAGTTTTGGATGATTTGAATGAACTTGTTTTGATTTTCGATTGAATTGTTGGATTGGGTTTGGTTGAATTTTGGATTTATTCGAATTTGAATTTAAAATGTTTGAATTTTTCGACTTGAATGATTTTTGAATACAACCCAAACTCATTCGAATGTTCTCATCCAGCAAGGTTGAAGAATTGAGTTACTGTCAGTACCGTAGGCAGACGATCGTTCGCAGATCACAATCATAGATAAATATTTTGAATCAAGTTACATTCAGGATACAATTGAGTTAGAACAAAGTTGAGTCCAAACTCGTCCATCGTCATAATAACGCTAATTGATTAAGAAATTGCAATTAAAATACAAATGAATCGCTCGCGTATGACATTTAACGTCGACGCGTCTCTGCTCATCGCCAAAAAGGAGCCGGCACAGCGATTTGCTGAATGAAAAGTCTGAAAAGTGAGGGATGGGCAAAATATTTTAACGATACCGATTTTGAGCTCAAACTCGGTCAGCATCGAATCATTTTGGAATTTGATTTCAGATTAAAATTTGGGACCCTTTTCTCGATATTTTCCACAGTTACAATGTAGATTTGGGCAAAGTTATAGTCCAAAAACTGTCAAAATTTTGCACCCAATTTGAAAAACCGCTGGAAGGTTATCAAAGCGCAAATTTAAATATAGGCGCCGATCTTGTTCTTCGCAATACCTCCGTATCTATACAATTACAATCGTGATATTGGAGATATGAGGGTGAGGTTTGCAGTGATCAGGTTTCTCCGGTTAACTGAAGCTGGGGACATCTCAGATCTTTCTTTCAATTAATTTGAATCAATCGAAAAGTAATTCTTTCGACTTACATTCATAATGAACCTCCATTACTTTCTGTTCTTTTCTCCGTGATATTTGCTTTTGTTTATAGATTTTTCATAATACTATCATGTTTTCATGCAGTGTTCATTGGTATTTTTTATTGTTTTGGATTATATTGTGCATATTTATTTGAATTAATTCGTGATGGTTATTGTGCATTTAAATGAATGTTACAATATATTATGAAAGTAATGTTGTAAACAGTAATGATGCGAATGTGTATTATGAAAGATTTCCAATAAGTAAACATGAACAATAAAAACTTGTGTTGTGATACATGAAAACTCTCAACGAAATAAAATATCAGGATTATCGAATAAGAAGCAAAAAGTTTTTCCGCTAAAAATCTCAAAAAAATCCTGACTAAAATCAAAATCTGCATTTTCCCTTTGCTATCTCAAAATCCGCATTCCTGACATATTACATCTCAGCTCAGGATAAACATTTCGGGAAGCTCAAAACGGTTCTGAGATAGTCTCGGCCGTCTCAACAAGAATATCACAAATAATGCACCGATCCACCAACAAAAACCCCCGTTTAGAGACCCCAAACCGCAAAAATCGTTATTTCAGGATTTTCGGCCAATGGATTCATTCCTTAAAGTATCAAGTTTTGCATCAATCGAGCTGGAATGAGGCACCGCATGCAATAAAATACGAATCACCTCAATAGCTGTAACCATTCTCGTGTTCTGACCGCAAAACGTGGTATCACTCGATTTCTAAATATCATCATAGCGGTTTCTTCTGAGGGAAGCCAAAAAACAATGCCAACGTTGACCTTATGGAGGATTTCTCTGACCTAACTTCCCCATGCTCTGCATCGTCCATTCGTCAAGCCGAACCGATTGCCAACAACCTTACCAAAGAGGAGCATGCACGTGCATTTAGAAACACTAACTGAATACTGTTGAAGTTTTCGACATGAAGCCTGACTCATGACTGCCGGAGGGAAACGCAGACTGTCTTTTTCGACGTTACATGCTCTCCACAGAAGAAGAAAATTGAACACGAGTCTGTGCATATTACTGATTTTCAAACAGTGATGCTCACTCTGCCATGCTAATCTCATCGTAGGATTTACGCTAACATGCATTACTCGTGATCTACAAACGCTCTACTGTAACGCTTTGCCATCCCTATTCTACGCCAAATGATATGCTAAATGTCTTTCATAAACTGCGTTCCCTTTCAAGAGAATCTATTACCTTATTCCAAAAATCTTCTGTCATATCGTCATGTTCTTCGAAAGAAGCTGATGCATTCCTCGACGATTGTC